ACTGCGGGGAACTCTGCAAAAAACGCATCTTCGCACGGGCAGCCCGTGCGTTGGCCATTTATTTAGATTTGGCCAGGATTACGTCGGGGACTTCGACACGGATCGCTCGACTCAACATCCAGAATAAATCGTCTTCCCCTGTACCCCAATTCGTCTCCCACCGATTCAACGGGTCTTCCATCAGGTCTTTTTAATTGTCATGCCGTTCAACGTACTTATTTTATTGACCAAGTTTATATAAACATATTATTATAAAACCCACGCTTCGCGCTTCATCTTATCTAGTCACAACGACCCCGCAATACCTCACACCACACATCAAAAACATTTACTCTAATCACATAGCTTCACTTGCTTAGCAAGCACTCAACAGCTGAGTAACATTCAGAACTATCAAGTTACTGTCAGCAGCAATTTGCTGTTTTTCTGGAAAACAATCTCAAAGATTTCAGATGCTCGACAATACTACTTGAAATAACAATTTACAGTTGCATTTAAGTTAACAGCAGCGGAGACTGCTGACTGCCTTCCGCTTCTCAATTCAGTACTTCCGAACTCATAACTATACTCTCATCCTACTGCACTTTTTAAGGGCTAATGAGTTAACAAACAGTAACAGGAGACTCATCCTCTGCCACGTTTCGAACCTTCTACGCTGTGGTGGCGTTTCGAATTCAAAAGGCATTGTCTGAGACAATGTGACTCCTCCAGTTGATTCAGTAACAGCGCCATTCACAGCCATGTCGACGCTCAAAAGCAACGAAGATTGTCTTCGCCTGCAGTTCCTAAATTACCATTCTTTTCGAACTGTTAAAACAATGCACAAAATTTATGATAACAACCAAGAAGTGTTAATGATTTCAGTTTGTGCACTGACCTGGAAAGCGGAACTGAAAATTTTTCCCTGTTGAGTTTCTGCCGCATGAATTTGATGAAAGCAAGCTTGATCAACGACAAGAATACAATCATGAAGCATACACCTGCAATGTTCTGATGCCCAATTCAGTTGACGGAAAAATGCCTTTTTGTGAAATCAGGATCGTTTTCAAGAACGAAATAAAGAATATGCATCACCAAATTAAATAATTGGCCAACGCACGGGCTGCCCGTGCGAAGTTGCGTTTTTTGCATAGTTTCCCGCAGTTTTTGTCGCTACCGGCATCGGTTTTTTCGGCAGATCATTCTAGCTAAACAAATTAAGACTGGCCACCAAAACTGGCAGGAAATACTCCCTTAAAATTTCAGCTTTCTAACTTTCCTGGCTCCTGAGTTAGCAACTTACTTGAAAAAATCTTTCACGAGCCCGCACTCGGGTACCACGCACACCCGATGTCCGGGTTTGAGCTCATTGAGACTTACTCGGACGGGGAATATCTTCCTAAAACTGCAGTCTTTTAGCTTTACCGGTTCTCGAGTTATGAGCTTACCCGAGAAAAAATTTGGTGAACCCGTGCGTAGGTACCACGCACAATCGAGGGCAGGTATGAGCTCGTTGAGACTAATGTGGACGAGAAACACCCTCTTAATGTTACAGTCTTCTATCATCTCAGATCCCCGAGTTATGAATTTACGCGAGAAAAATTTTGGCGGGCTCGTGCGTGGGTACCACGCTTATCCGGGAGTTGAGTCTGAGCTCATTAGTACCTACTTGGTCGAGGAACATCCCCTTAAAATTTCAGCTTTCTAGCTTTCCTGGTTCACGAGTTATCAACTTACCCTAAGAAAACTTTGGCGAGCTCTTACGCGGGTACCACGCGGGTAGGATCGCCCACTTTGGGGATGGGGGCCCTTAAGTGCATGTAGATTATGTCCCCAAAGTTTCAGCCCTGCAGCTTTTGTAGGTCTCGAGATAAAAAATCGGTACAGAAGCCAGCGCACACACAGACACACAGACACACACACACACACACACAGACAACCTCTCGTCAATACGCGTTTTTCGCATTGCATTGCTGCAAAAAAACGCATAAAAATTGTTGGGAAGCCGTAGCTCCTATTACAGCCCTTGCAAAATAAATTTCCAATTATGATAGTTTCCGAAGAAAATCTGAGAGGAAATGGACGATTGTGAAGGAAGAGGAACGAGGAGGAAATGGAGGGGCGGGGAAATATGCGAAGGAAGAATGAGGTTTTCTAGAGGTTAATAGGGAAAGGGAATCCTGCACTTGTGTTAGTATACTATTGTGTGCCTTTGATATTTTCGCAAGGATTGTCATTCTGTCTCAGTGGTTTTAGTTGGCCCTCAAAGAACGGGACGCTGCAAAGCTCCGGTCATTAATGTGTATCTATGGCTAAAACTGAAATCACGTTGAATGAACGACGTGACAAAATAATTTGTCATTGGAACTGACAAA